TATTGGTGTATACTTCCTGGTATATCCATGATGATTAAATACAGGCATTTGGCGACTATTTGCTTACAACACAGACATCAAGAAATGGATACAGCCCGGCTGGCATGACTCAGTGGTTGAGCATCGACCTATGAACCAGGATGCCACGGTTTGATTCCTGGTCAGGGCACATGCCTGGGTTTTGGGCTCCATCCCTGGTATGGGGCATGCAGGAGGCAGCTGATCAATGATTCTCTCTCATCATTAATGTTTCTCTCTCTCTCTCTCTCTCTCTCTCTCTCTTTCTCACTCTCTCTCCCTCCCTTCCTTTCTGAAATCAATTAAATAAAAATAAATGAATACAATCCTGGCCAGGTAGCTCAGTTGGTTAGAATGTTGTCCTGATACACCAAGGTTTCAGGCTCCATCTCCGGCCAGGGCACATATAAAAATTAATCAACGAAAGCACAAATAAGTAGAAAAACAAATCTCTCTCTCTCTCTCTTTCTCTCTCTCCCCTGCCTATCCTCTCTGCCTTCCTACCTTCCTCTCTCTCTCTCTCTCTTTAAAATCAATACATAAATAAAAAAATGTTTTTTAAAGAAATGGATACACAGAACAAACTGATGGATGCCAGAGTGGAGAGGGGTTGGAGGGCTAGGTGAAATAGGTGAAGGGATGATGAAGTATAAATTGGCAGATACAAAATAGTCATGGGGATGTAAGCACAGCATAAGTGAATACAGTCAATAATATTGTAATAATTTTATATGGTGTCAGGTGGATACTAGACTTTTTGAGGGGATATATGTAAGTTATATAAATGTCTAACCACTATGGTCTATACCTGACACTAGTATAATATTGTATGACAATTGTAATCCTATATAATAAAAGGGTAATATGCAAATTGATCCTAACAGCAGAACGACCGGTCGCTATGAGGTGCACTGACCACCAGGGGGCAGATGCTCAATGCAGAAACTGTCCCCTGGTGGTCAGTGCACTTCCACAGGGGGAGCATCACTCGGCCTGAAGCCAGCTCATGGCTGGCCAGCACAGCAGCGGTGGCGGGAGCCTCTCCCACCTCCACCGCAGTGCTAAGGATGTCCAACTAATGGCTTAGGCCCGCTACCCAGGGAGCGAGCCTAAGCCATTAGTCACACAACCCCCAAGGGCTCCCAGGCTGCTAGAGGGATGTCTGACTGCCAGCTTAGGCCCAATCCCCCGGTGAGTGGGCCTAAGCCATCAGTCAGACATCCCCCAAGGGCTCCCAGACTGCAAGAGGGTTCAGGCTGGGCTGAGGGACACCCCCCCCCCTCCCACTTCAAGGGCACACATTTTTGTGCACCAGGCCTCAAGTTAAAAAATAAAATGTTTTAAAAATGATGGGGTAGGTTGAGAGGATTATTAGTGAGGACCAAGAGGAGGTTGTGGTAGGGGAGAGAAAAAATTCCAACACAGATGCTTTTCTTTTGACCCACACCCCACCACTTAGTTGTTGGTCTGGTCAGAAAGAATTCTCTTGATGTAGTTGGTTCACTAATGATGCTAACTCAGATGAAGTATGTCAACGAGTAAAGACATGAATCTCTGTTGAAAATGAAAATGTCCTTTAGGTCTTGACCGAGAGGGTCAGCACGGTGTTTCTCCCTCATGCTAGGCCAAACAGAAGCTTACAGTGAAGTTGATGGATGTCTGTGGCAGAAGAAAGAAAGATGAAAAGAGGAGCAATAAAGAGGAGACAACTAAGACATTCTTTGTGAGAAGAAAATCTACAAATGCTTCAGTCAGGAAAGACAGGCAAGGCCTTTTATAAAGGATCTGTGGGACTCCTGTAGTATTTTGTCATTATAATATTTTGTTAATATGAATGGATTGGTAAGGAGAACGGATGCCCAGCTTCTCTATTGCAAAGTAACAAGTGATCCAATTTGGAAACAGGAAGGAAAAGGGGAGTGTCATGGACCTCTGCCATGCTCATTCCTTCCTCCAGCCCTTCATCCCGTCCTTCCCCTCCCCTGGAAGGTCTTCACTCCTCCTCTCTGCCTACCTAAGTCTTGTGCAATCTCTGAGATCCAAGCAAGTTCTGTGCCTCCATCTCTACTCCAGTACTCAAAAGCCCCCTTCACAGGGACTCCCACAGAACATCTGTGAGCCACACAATTCCTACTAGATGGAGCATATTGTCTATGAAAGGTTCTTGTATGTGTGTCTTAGAAAACCTCTTGTGAACTCCTCAGAGACAAGGGCCATTTCTTCTGTGGCTGCTATACCTCTCTCAGTGCTGACGTCTTAAAAGACCCTCTGTTTGGCCTTGCTAACTGACTGGAGGGTTCCATTCTGCTCTCTCGTTCTTGCCAGCAATGCAGAGTGGACAATAAAGTCCATTCACTATGAAATGACTAAGTCAAAGATAAAGGAGCCAAGAAAGTACTCTTACAGAATCACTTATTTTTTTTTATTTTTTTAAATATATTTTATTGATATTTTACAGAGAGGAAGGGAGAGGGATAGAGAGTTAGAAACATCGACGAGAGAGAAACATCGATCAGCTGCCTCTTGCACACCCCACATTGGGGATGTGCCCGCAACCAAGGTACATGCCCTTGACTGGAATCGAACCTGGGACCTTTCAGTCTGCAGGCCAACGCACTACCCACTGAGCCAAACCGGTTAGGGCACAGAATCACTTAGTGTCTCAAAGGACTTGTGGTAGCCAGATCTCAGAATCCTGAGGTTTGATAGATGTGGAAATAACTTTGAAATATGTGATAGTGCTTTTGAGATTACTATTTCACTTGGGTGGGAGGTGTAAACTAATAAATAAAAATATGGGTGCCCTAACTGGTTTGGCTCAGTGGATAGAGCGTCGGCCTGCGGACTGAAGGGTCCCAGGTTCGATTCTGGTCAAAGGCATGTACCTTGGTTGCGGGCACAGTAGGGGGTGTGCAGGTGGCAGCTGATCGATGTTTCTAACTCTCTATCCCTCTCCCTTCCTCTCTGTAAAAAATCAATAAAAATAATTTTTTTAAAAAAAGCGGTGCTTAAAAAATAAAATAAAAATATGGGTTACATGAGCCAGGAAAAGAGAAGGTTTTCTGTTACATGATTAACTGATATCCCACAGTGTTCTTTCCCCACCATGTTCCATAGTTAGTAGGGGTTCAGAATATTGCTTTTCGTACTTCTGATGTTAACAGTGCTGCTAAAAGAAAGGATGTGATTAGGGGAAGAGAAAGGGAGAGAAAGATTCATATTGCCTTATTTTAATCATTGGGTGTCCCAAAGCTTTTTAGGGAGTAAACAACAATCAATATTTAGGAAAGACAGCTGGATTCACACTACTTTGAATTCTGGGTCTCTCCTCTTCTGTGGCAATTTTTGGAGTATCATGTGCTCATACAGAGTCCCATCTTTTTTTTTTTTTTGGAATGTATTTTATTGATTTTTTACAGAGAGGAAGGGAGAGGGATAGAGAGTTAGAAACATCGATGAGAGAGAAACATTGATCAGCTGCCTCCTGCACACCCCCTATTGGGGATGTGCTTGCAACCAAGGTACATGCCCTTGACCGGAATCGAACCTGGGACCCTTCAGTCCGCAGGCCGACACTCTATCTACTGAGCCAAACCGGTTAGGGTACAGAGTCCCATCTTATGACACAGACATAGTTTCCAACTTTTCATGATGCTTAAATCACTTACACGTTAGGTACATTGAGGCTCATGAGAATTGCTAATTGGCCTTGTGAAACTGTGGCCATGCTTTTCACGGATCTAAAAGTATTCACACCTACCCACACAGCAGAGTGGGGAAATGACTGTGCTGGCTTGTCCAGTGCTAGTAATAGTCAAGTGACATGGCCTCCTCATTCCCCATGAGCTACATTTAAAGAACCTACTCCAGAATAAGACTAGACTTGGGGCTAAAAAAAAAAAAATCACCTAAGCTACTAGTATTTCCTTTCTAGAAAAACGGGATTCTAGTTTGGATTTCAGAAAGCTCTTTATATAGCTTGCAAAAGATGCTGGGTCTTTCAGTATTTTTACTCTAGTAAAACTTGAAGCTCTGACCTATATTTAGTATGACTTTTCTGGGATATGGAAAAATATGCTCTATCATTTAATGTGATGTCTTTAACCCTCTGTGTAAATGGCACACATTAAAAACCAAGTCTAGCCCTGACCGGTTTGGCTCAGTGGATAGAGCATTGGCCTGTGGACTGAAGGGTCCCAGGTTCGGTTCCAGTCAAGGGCATGTACCTTGGTTGTGGGCACATCCCCAGTAGACGGTGTTCAGGAGGCAGCTGATCGATGTTTCTCTCCCACCGATGTTTCTGGCTCTCTATTCCTCTCCCTTTCTCTCTGTAAAAAAAATCAATAAAATATATTTAAAAACCAAGTCTAGCCCTGCCAGTGTGGCTCAGTGGTTGAGCGTCGACCTGTGAATCAGGAGGTCACATTTGATTCCCGATCAGGGCATATGTCCGGGTTGTAGGCTTAATCCCCAGTGTGGGGCGTGCAGGAGGCAGCCGATCAATTATTCTCTCTCATCATTGATACTGCTATCTCTTTCTCCTTTTCCCTTCCTCTCTGAAATCAATAAAAAATATCTATATATATATAAAAGGCTAATATGCAAAGTGTCCCTGTGGGAGTTGGACCCGGAAACCAGGAGTTCGATTGCTTGCTAAGATGTGGGCTGACCACCAGAGGGTGGTGTGGAATGAAGGAAGGCCCCGGCTGGCAGCCTGAAGGCCCCTATCGGCCCTGATTGCTGTCCAGGCCTAGGAACCCTACCCATGCACGAATTTCGTGCACTGGACCTCTAGTATTTAATAAAAATACAAGTCTACTATTTAGATATTTTTTATAAGCATAATGACAGGTTATACAATATCAATGAAAGAATATGACTGGGTTCACTGCTACCTGTGTCTTGGAGCAAGAGAAGGGTTCATCCTAGAAATAATCACCTTTCCTTCCAAAGGAAGAGGATATGACCCTGGAAAAACCTTGTCTCAGCTAGAAATCTGCGCTGTCAGATCCAAACGGTCCCATTGCAATCCTTTTTTCCCAGGCGGTGCGTAGATCTTTGACAAGTGATGATTGATTTCTCCTTCTTGTGTTTAGGTCAAAGGCTGGACTCCGTGACCAGGGACCTGGTGTGCGAGATCTCACAGGCTGCAGAGAAATATTAACACATGAGTGCATATGCAAAACATGTGGTCTCATATGAATGTAGAGCGGAAGAGAATGTCTCTTCAGCCATGGTTTATCAAAATAGCTCTATGAACTACTATAATAAATATGAAAATAGAATCTATGTGGTTAAGACCTGCCTCCTTTGACCCAGTCAGGAGCCTCATGGCGAGAACACACCTGAATTGTCCACACAAGGAGGCTTGAGTATATATCTGTGTGGTGATCTTTGAGGTTAGCCTCTGTTTTCTATGTCTTTATTATTATGCAGAAGTAGCAGCAACTTTGAGACACTCTTGTAGCTATGACTAAAAAGTCCTATTCCTGGGATGTGTTGAGGAGGTGGATTCACTCAGGGTGAAGAGCCCCTGGGGACCCAGCATTGCTCTATTTCAACCCCACAAACCAATGTAGTGATGGCCAGGGTTGAGACTGTACCTATATTAAAGCTAGATTAAAGTATCCCCAGGAACCTAAATAGTCCTGATATCAAACAGATTTCTGCATTACTCCATGGAATAATAAGAGGCTATCCTCAATGCCAAATGAATTCTTGGGTTAGGAAAAAAGTATGAATAGAATCCCATTTTCCATATGTCTAAATAGTTAAATGTTGTAAGTCAAGCTAACCAACTGTTGAGTAAAATACATTCTATCACCTACCTTGACAGGAGACCAGGCCTGCATTTGAAATGTTTAGATTCTTTGGAGCTCCTTATCAAAACTTAGCAGTGCAGGAAAGCTGACCTGGAGTCCACCCATCTCTTTCTGTTCTCAGCTCCATTTCACACTGTGAGGACCTCACACATACACACGTAGAAACTTCGGACTGCATGCCCAAGTTATGTTCACATACTGCTCCAAACAACTACTGTTTGCCACCCCTTGAGTCTAACGGTACATGCACTTGCATTGCTGACCACCCTTGGGAAGACACGAGTCCACACAGCCCTAAAAATGGGCAGGGAATTTCAGAATCTTGGGTACCCAGTGTGTGTGGTCTATGAGGCAGGCTGTGGCCCTATAGACTCCTTGCTCTATGGGGAGGCATCTGTCCAGAGGTCAGAGCTGAGCCCTCCAAAGTTGAGGCCCCAGGACAGGAGTCCTCCTGCCTGTTCCAGTGTGTCACTGGTTCGCTTATTGCTAGTAGTCCTGACATAAGTTTGCCTCACAGAAAATCTACTACTGCCCATAGTACCCACCAAACTGGTGATGTGACATGAAGGTACAGGATAAGAATATGTCCTATGGTGCCCAACACTGAAGAATGTTGGTAATGGAGGAAAAACAAGGTTTGAAATGTACAGGGCCAGAACCTAGTTTATAGAAAATTCTTCTAATAATCAAATGTATAAAATTATAAAAGGATTGTTTTCACTTCATGCCTAGTAAAAAAAAGTTCTCTCCTGATAATGCAGCCTTATAAATGCACCATCCATTTTTTTTTTATTAGGAATGAAGCAAAATGGAATATATCAGATTGTGCACTTGTAGGAAACAAACCTGCAGTGGAACTACAAACAGTGAGTTTGTCTTTGTGTATATGTATCTTCATTTTTTGTTAAATAAATAGGAACATTTTTATTATGACACCTAAAGAATTTAATGGGATTATTTCTGATTTTTATACTTGATTATTCTTTAATTAATCTCAAAAGCCTAATACCAGATATATATAATTGATTTCAGAAAGGAAGGGAGAGGGAGAGGGAGATAGAAACATCAATGATGAGAGAGAATCATTGATCAGCTGCCTCCTTCATGCCCCCTACTGGGGATCAAGCCCGCAAACTGGGTATGTGCCTTGACTGGAATCGAACCCAGGACCCTTCAGTCCACAGACCGATGCTCTATCCACTGAGCCAAAACAGCTAGGGCCCAGATTTTGATATATGCCCACTCACACATTATATGTCTCTTATGGTATATTTTTTTTAACAGTACAGAGGTCTTTTATTTTTTTTTTTGCACTTGTCATGCCTTGAATTCATAGGGGATGGGTCCCAGCAGCTCAGGCTCCTTTCCACTGGTTCTCACAAAGTGCTTCTCTGGGTGGAGCAGGCTGGCACTTCAGCTGAACCCAGGAACCTTTCACTTTGGCTTCCTTCTTTTTCTGACCATTTTCCTTCACACGTTTCAGAAAGCTATCTCAGCTTTTAGAGTGCTTTTTATGCTCAATATGTACATTAATTCTCTGGGCAAGAATCTTGCCCTTGTTCATTTACAACAATGCCCACCGCAGGCTGAGTAACTGTAGACTCCTCCAGTTTTGCCACGGTAACATTTGTGAGACATTCCTTTTTGAACAGTGCCCATTCCTTTGATGGCTGCAATATCTCCTTTCTTGTAGATTCACCTGTATGAGGCCAGAGGAACAGCTCCATGTTTTCTGAAAGGCCTAGAGAACATATAGCGGGTGCCTCTCCTCTTTCCCTTTGGGTTAGTCATTTCGGCAAATTATTGGAAGATGGCGGTTCCAGTCAAAATAAGAAATAACATTTCTTATTTCACAAATAACATAATTTCAGCTACACATCATATTATGTTGTATTATAAATAATAAGAGCCAATCCATTATTTATTATCTTGTTTTTCATTGCTTTCAAAAAATGAATAAATCAATTATAATGGACCATTTCATTTTAATTTTGACTTTCATAATGTATTCCTCTATTTATCAATTATTTCTATTACACTTTTTGAAAATTCAAGTCATGATAAAAAGTAAGTCTGACCTGAACACGAACGCTTGTTTGTAGCAGCTTTATTCATAATCACCAAAAACTAGAAGCAACCAAATGTCCTTCAATATGTGAGTGGAGTAACAAATTGTGGTACATTTATATAATGGAATAGTGGTCAAAGACAAGAAATGAACTATCAAGCCACAAAAAGACATGGATGAACCTCTTTAAATGCATACTGGTTGCTAAGTGACAGAGCCAGCCTGAAAAGGCTACACATAATGTATGACTTTAATTACATGACATTCTGGAAAATGCAAAACTATAGACATAATAATAAGATTCGTGGTAATCTTAACGTCAAGTTCCTTTGTTTGTTTGTTTGTTTTTTTAAAGGGAATTATATTGATTAAAAAAAACAGAAGAGCTAGGCAATGATTAGAGATTGGAAAAAATAAGATGCATTAGGGGAAGTGTAGTTTTAAAAAACACTCTATTTTTAATGGCACAAGTGATACATGTTCAATGTAGAAAGTCCAGAACATAAAAATAAAGAAAGAAGAAAATAAAATTTACCTGGAATCCCACCATCTAAAGATAAACACTGTTGAATATTGCAGTGGAAAGACTCCTAATTTTTTTTCAGTAATATGAATGGATCTATATATGAATGAATAGATATATACACATACAAATCGACACACAAAGTACCCCAACTGGGATCCAACTGTAATATTTATTTTGTCTGTTTTTCCCACTCATGATATATTAGGAACATTATTCCATGTCCTTAAATTATATTCCTAAAAGTGGTTATTAATAGCTGCTTTTGTAGTGAGAACTAAGTAGAGCCACAGGAAAAGTGATGAAATTAAAGATAAGTCAGGCTCCAAAAGGTACCTCCCAGTCACTACGGAAACTAGGAGACAAGGCAGCAACAATATTCTTCCAGGAAATCACAAAATGCTGAAAAAAATAAAGATGAGGTCACAGGAAAGACTAGGAGGAAGAGATATTTGTACAGGATGCGGAAGACAAATTTACAGCCTTCCTCTAGCTGAGCAGACTCCCCCTTGGCTTTGAGAGCGAACACGGACAGCTCATCCCCCTCGTTCCCTGCAGACTGTGTCCATTGTATACTGAAAACCAATCTCATTGAAAAGGCAATTAAAGCTCCTATTGACAAACTTGACCTGCCTTCTTCAGCATTTCCCCAGGGGATCACATGTCAAAGCCCCATCAGCACACATACAGCCCCTCTGCTGTCCCTTCCTTCAGACACTGCAGCTCTAGACGAGGCCACAGGACTTGGAAGGAGAACAGTTGGTATCAGCCGCTACTCTGGCTCTTGGCCAGGTAACTTTGTACAGAGCAGTACCTCACACAATGGTTTTGTCTGATATCGGCCCCACTGACTCAACTTCCACGGGGCATATGCAAAAATAATCTAACCTCCCTATCCCACTCTGTCATGCTGCCCAATTCAAGAACTTCTCTGCCTTCCCAACTCCTGTTTCCTCTGAAGTAGGCTAGTGACACCCAGTCATCATATAGGTAATACAGGGTTTTGTGCCATAATAATAAATTATTATTGTAGCTACCATTTGTAACTGTTTAGCTTTAAGCCAGACTCTGTGCTAAGTGCCTTATGTGCATTATTTTATCTTTACAACAACCCTATAAAGAAGTAGGTTAAAAAAAAGAAAAAATAATAATAAACTTGTACTAAAATAGCACTTCCCAAATATCAACTGGCTAAAATACAAGTTTAAAAAGAAGAAGAAGTAGGTTCAATTTTTATTCTCATTTTACAGATGGGATTCCTGAGGCCTGAGAGAGTAACTTGACTGAGCTAATGCCATGTAGAAGGAGTGGGAGGGACTCAATTCTGGTGGGTCTGCTTCCCAATAGACACTTTCTGTGCACCTTCTGTGTGAAAAGCAGTGTGTTAAAAGTAAGAGCAAAAAGCACAGGAAATCCTTTCCTTTTTTTTTTTTTTTTTTTTTTATTGCTTAAAGTATTACAAAGGGTATTACATATGTGTCCATTTTATCCCCCCGCCCTAGACAGTCCCCTAGCCTCCCCTATCCCCCCATGTCTTATGTCCACTGGTTATGCTTCTATGCATGCATACAAGTCCTTTAGTTGATCTCTTACCCCCCTACCTCCTGCCCCGCAACCCTCCCCGGCCTTCCTGCTGCAGTTTGACAATCTGTTTGAGGGAGCTCTGCCTCTGTATCTATTATTGTTCAAAAGTTTATAATGGTCTCTATTATCCATGAATGAGTGAGATCATGT